CCATCATCAGAACCAAAGTGGGCTGAGCCCACACAAAGATGTCTAAATGAGCCAGCCCATCTCTACAAGCAATCTTACGAAAGGCCGAGCCGAGGCACAACAGTACCGAGCTGAGGAAACCTTTAAGAGAAACGTAGAAGTTATGAACACATGCACATGAAGGCTGCCACCTCAGTTGGTCCCTTCCCCCTAGAATCACAGAAATAGTTAATAAAGGGAATGTGATCTGTTATAAGCATGCTTACAAGGAGCACATGCCTCCATTGTCAACTACCTTGAGGTCTCCCAACTTGGGGTAATGTTAAAGGAAGCCTTGAAGCACCAAAGCTCCATGAAACCATCTTGGGTAACAAGCAAAGTCTTCTATATAATGTCTTACTCTCTTCACATTGGAGGTAACTTAACTCAACTGAGCTTAACTGGATTCTACTCACTTTAACACAACAAAATTCACTCTACACTTTTCTCTCTTTACACCTAGAGAGAGCCTCTCATCTTCTCTGACGACTTACTCCCCCACCGGAGGGGTTTTCTGGCCAACCCCGGTCTGGCAGCTCTGAAGGTGTTCTATGTGTGCAGGTCCTCAGTTCCTGGATAGTCCATTCAGACATAGAGCTCCAATCTACTTTCATCTAGTGCGGGATTCGGTACGCACAAATTCAAAAATAAATATTTTTAGATTTTTCAAATTTATTTCTATACCCAAAAAAAAAAGAAGAAGAATAAAATGAATTGTAAAGTTAAAATGAAAGCCCTTAGGGCATTTTATCACCAATTAGTATAACAATTAGTGTACTAACATATACTATGACATTGTCACTTCAAAACTATTGATCCCACCCATTATACAAATTACAAAGACCCAAAGTCTCTAAAATTATGTCATATTATCCGTTAGTACACTAATTAGTATATCAATTGGTGCGTATAGCTTTATTCATGAAAAGAAAAGCAACAAGGGTGTTTTGGTCTTATTATAAATACAACTATTTAATTTAGACAGCTTTCATAACACTTGTGCTCTATATGTCAATCGGATACTTGTAATTTCATTATTTTTGTTATTGAAATCCTTTGGTTGGTGTATCATCGCATTAGTTGGGTGAAATTTGATTTAGACCTTGATTCGGATATTCGTTTCTCGTTGAGTCTTCATTCTTTTGACCCATTCTCTCTCTACATTCCAAATTTGGTGTAAGAATAGAACCATTGGGTAGCTTGTTGCTAGAGCTTTATTTTAGACTCTTGATTTGCGAAAATGAGTTCAGATGTGAGAGTTATGTCCATTTGAAGATTAAGCACTAGACTAATTTGAACAGTTCGCTTGATCACAAGATTGTTGGCTCGAGCGATCCTTCGACCCTTCCAATTTTGAATTTCAAGGCCTAAGATACGGAGAACCTTTATTACTCACTTGAGCGGTCTGCTCTGCAAAAGTCTAAGATACAACAAGCCATTTTTTTTCGCTTAAACGCAGTATTGTTTGCTTCAGCAGTCCTTTGAATGTCATTCACTGCTTGAGCGTGAGCACAAGTTTGTTCGCCCGAGCAGTCTGTTCAAATTATGAGCGTTTAAACTAGCTTTTGGTCAGATTGGTGGGCTCAAAACAACTTTTTGCCCTTGCACTATAAATAGAATATTTTCTTTTTTTCCTCACTTTTTCACACACATTCTCTCTATTCTTTCTCTCTCTACAACTTTTGTCCAAAACTTCATAAATAATTTGTTCCACACCATTTCGGGATCATCTCCTCATCTCGGTCCGTTAAGAAAGATTGTAGAACACATCGAGTGCTATATTTCGATTTGAGCAGATCGTCTTTTCGTCACCTTTGACTTTTGGGGTTCTTCTTTTCTTCTTCTCTAAATTGAGGTAGAAAGTATCTCACCTTTGTATATTTGTCTTACTGTGTCTATGTGGTATTTTGGTTAGTTACAAAATTGGAGAAATGTGGGGTTTCAATATATATATATATATACGTGGTATAAAACTAGGGTTCAACCCTTTTGTTCTAAAACTCGTAAATTGTTTTCTCAAATTGATAAGTGATGTTGGAATTTCATAAATTTGGTTTCAAATTGGCAAAACCCTAGATTTTTATTAAACCCTAAAATATGAAATTGGGGTTTTTTTTATTGTATATTGAAATTTGTCATGAAAAGTGGAGAATTGTGTTGAGAATGTTGATATTGTTGAAAATAGTGAGACTATTGAAAGGGTATGAGATTTTCAGTTATGCTTTTCTATTGCCGTTATGGAATACTTAGATAAAGATGACTATTTTGACAATCAGTGGAGGATTGCATGATTGTTGTAGAAATGAATTAGAAATTAGGAAAATTAAACCATTTCAATTCATGCATCGCATTGACATTTTTAACTGTTTTCTGAACACGCAGCCCAGGTAGATAGTGAACACGCAGCCCAGGTAGATAGTGAACACGCAGCCCAGGTAGATAGTGAACACGCAGCCCAGGTAGATAGTGAACACGCAGCCCAGGTATTTTCTGAACACGCAGCCCAGGTAGATAGTGAACACGCAGCCCACAATTTTAACTGAAAGTTGAACACGCAGCCCAAATTTCAAATTTTCTGAACATGCAGCCCAGGTAGATAGTGAACACGCAGCCCACAATTTAACTGAAAGTTGAACACGCAGCCCAAATTTGAAATTTTCTGAACACGCAGCCCAGATAGATTTGCATGTAGTTTATTTCACTTTATCGGCATACAGCCCATTTCATCTCATTGGCACACGGCCCATTTTATTTCATTGGCACACAGCCCATTTCATTTCATTGGCACACAGCCCATCCCAGTTCATTATTGACACATGTATTCATTCTGAATGCAGGTTTGCTCCCGCAGTGTGCGGGGGTATGGTTCCACCAGTGCGCGGGATTGGTATGCCGAGCTCCCGGAGGGTGTTCGAGACTTAGTCGACTTGGCAGGGTTCGGGCCCTTCTGCGTCGGGTTGTCACGTTGTCCTGCCAGGAGGACATTGATGGCAGCTTTGGTAGAGAGATGGTGGGACACCACCAATTCCTTTCATTTCTCTGCTATTGGGGATATGACCATGACCCCTTTTGACTTCGCTGTATTGACCGGCCTTGACGTTGGAGGTTGGTCCATCCCCTACGATGAGGATATGGGCGAGTGGGAGGCCGCCTGGGCATATCTATTGGGGGCTCACCCACCTGTTGACAGGGTTTCTGGGAGAGTCCGATACACTTGGTTCTCTTCCCACTTCCGGCGGGCGGAGATGGTGCCCGAGACTCCCGAGGAGACAGAGCAGTATGCCCGTGGTTTCCTGATGTTCCTCTTCGGGACTACCCTGTTCGTCGACAGAGGGAACACAGTTGGGCTATATTTGCTGAGCGCTCTAGTCGACCTGTCACAGGTTCATCGATATGACTGGGGTGGCGCCGGCCTGCCTACCCTTTACTTTTATATGAGCGCGACCTCCCGCGAGCGGGGCGATTTGCTTGGCGGCTACTGGAGAGCCTGGGAGGTACTTTCTGTCCCCTTGATTTACATTTCTGCTTCTCATTACTTGTACATCGCACACACGGCGCACTTTTACAGTCTGTATTTTGCTCTCAGCATTTCGTACTTACATTCTGCATTGCTTTTCTCAGTTATGGGTCTATGTATACTTCCCATCATTAGCCCCAGAGCTGGAGGTGGTAGGGATTCCCGTGACCCCATATTCATTGATATTCGAGGGCCCGCACCGGCCGAGGCCTCGAGAGACCCTCCTTCGCCTGCGACAGTATTTCGACACTGTGCGACATTCAGAGGTATTTCAGAACTTTCAGTTCTCTTCATTTCATCTTTGATTTGCTCTGTATATTCTCGATTTCTGATTGGTTTAGGCATTCATCATCCGCAGATTACATGGCAGCCCTGGGTGTCCCTGGGTGACGGCCTCCGACTTCAGTATACCGGAGCGTCGGATATCTCCCAATATAGGGTCCTGCTCGAAGGGCCGATTGGCAGGGTATGGTTCTTGGGTGAACGCTTTCTGCGCCAGGTATGGAGGTATCTTTCTCAGGATATTCCCGCAGTACCTCCAGCCAGTATGCGGACTGCTGACAGGCTCTCTTACTCAGAGGTAGTCGGCGCCATGCTGGGTACTGATGCCTTGCTATATATTGAGGAGGGGGACTACGCCACTTACGGTCACATATATTTGATGCCTCCATTGACGGAAGCTCGTATCCCGATGATGAGGCCCGCCGGTATGTCATCCTCGGACCAGGCTCGGGCTCGGGCTGCAGACGCCCCTTCTACTAGCAGGGCCGGTACGTCTAGAGGTGGGAGTAGACCGGTTCCTCCGGCTCCGTCGGTTCATCCTCATCCCGGATGGCCAGATATGCCTACTGAGTTGATGGCATGGCAGTATGGGGCTAGCTTTCCGACTCCGATTCCACTAGAGCCTCCGATGCCCAGTGATCGATACGCCATTGATCCGGACTCACCGCCGGTATGCTCCACTTCTTTTCATTCATCATTCAGATGTTTAGATACTCTTCTGTTCACTGATGATTATGAGCTCATTTTTGCAGCCATCCCAAGGGTACATGGAGGAGGTGGTTGGACTGGTGGCCACACTCGAGGGCATGGTCCTACGCAAGGAGGCACAGTTGTCTGTCGCGGGCATTCAGGTACCCTTCAGTTTTCTGGCATTTATCATACTTCTGATGACATGCTGATTTCTACTGCATCGATAGACTATTTGTGTAGAGCACATCTGACCGGTTAAGGTAGTATTTACATGCACCCACTTCATGTAGCCTTTGTTTGCATCTGCATCTGATGTATATATTTGGACTGATGCATTTGAATTGGACTCTTTGTTTTCAGATGCCTACATGGTCCGGTCAGCCGCAGGCTAGGCCACCTGGGCCTCATTGGGGAGCTGGGCCATCTGGGTCTTTTCATGGAGCGGGGCCGTCTCGGCCTTCCCGAGGAGCCGGGCCTTTTAGGCCTTTTCGGGGAGCTCGAGGAGGGCCTGTCCGCAGACGCAGGGCTCACGTTGTGGAGGTGGAGCCTGATGAGGAGGAGGAGGAGGAGGCCACAGATCGTCAGTCCGAGACGTTCGCCGGGGAGGAGGAGGAGGAGTCTGAGGGGAATCCTGAGGATGACGACGCTGACTCAGATGATGATGATGATGCTGTGGAGATCGTCCCGCAAAAGAGGACGAGGCTTGCTTCTCGTTCCCGCTCCCGAGGACTTTGATGCTGCTATTTCCTGCTTTATTTTTCTTTTTGCTAGTAGTTTATAGCACTTTGCACAATGTTAGGTAGTTTTATTTTTTTGTAAAACTTGTACCTTTGTTTGTTGTAAAGCATGATGAAATGAAATAGCTTTTGAAAAGATGTTTGTACTTTAACTTTTAGCATCGTATCGCATTATTTATTTTCGCACAAAAGTGAAATTGAATGGTAATGCGCATTGTGTAATCACCAAGTCAGGTAGTGAACCGACGCACAAACTAAACAACTCAACTCACTAAGATATAACAGAATCTTTAGCAAGTTTACAACTCGATAAGAAAAATGCAACAACGTAAATAAACAAGACTTTAACAACAATTGCTTAAACAGAGAGCAATGACTCAAAAACACAAAACACGTCCGCTCGACAAACAACTCGATAAGCAAAACAACAACTCGATGAGCAAAACTCAACAATAACAAAGTGTACTTCTGACGATCTGGGCATCGGAGCGCATCCGGAATGAAGGCCTTTGACTCTCCCGTTACATGGAAATGCTTGGAACTTTCCCTCGAAGAATAAAATAGGGCCAGGGAGATACACCGCAGCATTGCCAACCACCCCTGGGAGCCGGCCGGCCATTTTTGAAAAAAGAGAATGGCTGGCCAACTAGTTTTGGAAAAGTAAATGGCTGGCCAGCCAGAAAAAGTGGCTGGCCGGCCATTCAGTCCTGCAGCCACCAGATTTTTGACACTTGTCCCCATGAATAGTGTTTTTCCTTCTATAAAAGCCTCAATTTTGGGAACATTCATTTCACCTTAGTTTTAGACAAAGATGGAGGCGTTTCTCGTAGAAAATGTCACATCTTGGATCTCTTCTCTAGATGGCTCGGAAAAGTTGAATTTCCGGGGTTTCGGCTTGAATGCACTATTCACGCTGAGCCGTACTCCGCTACATCTTCCTTTTCTCCATGCCGCGGCAAGGTTCTGGAATCCAGTGACGCACATTTTTAGCTTTGGCGGCCAAGAGATGTGCTCCACTTTCGAAGATTTTCAGGTTTTGATGGAGTCTGAAAGCTCTGAAGTGATCTTGCCCCAGCTCCGCTTTGGCCATGCTCAGGCTTTAGGGCAGATGTGTGGGCTCACGGCGCATGATGCTCGATCTCTGATCTGCAGCGGGGAGCTGGACATCCTTGGCTTGATCCATCGTTTTTCCGATGCCGGTGACCACAGCAACCATTATTGGCAGGGTTTTCGGCAACACGCCCTCTGCTTATGTTTGTTATCTCATTTTCTACTTTCCTCGAGCTTCGGCGGGGCTAGCATTCACCTGATTGAAGTCGCCCAAGGTTTGAGAGAAGGAAAGAGCTGTATCGCCATGACCTTGGCCGAGACACTGATGGGCTTAGATTCTGTCTATCGCCGGGAGGCGACTAGGTTTGCCGGGAGTCCACTACTACTGCAGGTAATGTTTCCCACCCAAACTCACATATATATTTGCTCACATCACTCGGCCCTCAGGCTCGATTTTTCTCACAAAACCCTTGTCTTACTTTTCTCTCATCGTACATCTCTCTGTTCTTTATTCTCTCATTTTCCATCCCTCCCCTAGGTATGGTTAATGGATAAGTTGCAGGTTGTGGACTCTTGCCCAGCTTATTCAGCTCGAGGCTACTTCTTTCGGCAACGCCTAGTCAATGCTCTTGACGAAAGGTGGTGGTTCAATTGGATGTGCAATTTGTCCGCAGACAGCATTGCCTGGCGTTGCCCTTGGCTCAATCTCCCGGCAATGAGCTATAGTATGTCCCGGCTGATTGGGATCCAATTGATTGGTCTAACCCACTGCGTATTTTATTTTTCGTTTCGGTTCCTGCGTCAGTTTGGTCATGATCAGACCTGCCCGCCGGAGGGGATTGAGTACCCAGCTGCTTTCCCGGTCCGGGGCGCACAGCTCGCCCGATATGCCACGGCATGGAGAACTAGAGAGCTCCTGGCCCCTGCTTCTACTTTCAGTTGCACTTTGTCCGATGAGTGCCTAGATTGGCTCAATGAGGAGGCACAAGTTGGGCCCAGCTTGGCATCAGATGTTCCGTCCAGCTCTGGGAGGGGTCGTGGAGATACTTGATTCAACTAGGCCCCAAATTTATTGCTTATTAGCATTTTCAAGTTTTCTTTATGAATGTACTAAAATAAGCAACCTCGATTGTAATGCAAGAGCAGGAGAACTCTATTTTGAAATCAATGAAATTGAAAGTTATGGTACTGAAAATTTTCCGCTTTTGGTCCAAAAATGGTCTAGTCGTAAAAAGATTGATTTGAACAAAGTCAACTTTTATTAAAACTTTTCAAAACTATTTTTGATGTGGATCAGAATTGAACACGCCGAAAGTCTGTCACTGAGACGCACAACCCCAGATCCCCGCAACTGGAAAGTTGCCCCTAGTCTGAAGAACAATGCGGCACTGCAAAGCAACGGAAAGTTGCCCCTTGTCTGAGTAACTTTGCACCGTCGCGGCAACGGAAAGTTGCCCCTAGTTTGAACAGCACTGTACCGGAGATCGCGATAAATGCTGATGGATAAAGATGACTTAGATGATCGAAATGGACAAAGTTGATCGGGGAAAAGTTTATGGCTGAACTTCAAGATGAAGTTGCCTACGTATCCCAAAGATGGGAATCAAGCCTTACGTAGTTCAGGCTAAGGTTCACTCTCCTTTTGCGCTCTAACTTTTGCCAAGGCCGCCCTTTGCGGGTTTTCAACCTTGCGAGCTCAGTTTTTGTATTTTCTAATTTTTTGTGCTCTGAATTTTGCCTAGGTCGCCCTTTCGGGTTTTCGGCCTAGCGAGCCTCTCAAGGATAGTATTTCTTCAACTTGTCCATATTGATCGGTTGTGAGAACTCCAAGCCATCTAGATCCATCAGAACCACAGCCCCACCTGACCAGATAGCTTTAATGATGTAAGGACCAGTCCAATTAGGTCTGAACTTGCCCCT